TCATACTGCCTCCATCATCAGGGCGATGAGTATGAAGATTTCTGTCTTCTGGGTTGTGCCGTGTAGTCTGGTCGATGTTTACCAACGTTTTAGAGGTCATGAATTCATCGCCCTGATGGTGGAGGCAGTATGACCTCCGAAACGTTGGTAAACATCTACCAGACTACACAGTGCAACAACCCAGAAGACAGAAATCTTCAATCTACTTTGCATATCACAACGTCTTTAAACAATACGATAACAATTTAGAAAGAACAAAACTTCTTAGAATGATTAAAAGCTTTAGCGCATCCGTCATTCAACAATGTTTCCAAACATGACATCACACCGATTTCCGAACATCAGTGTGGTGACACGCTGATAAATTCCCACGTCAAAGGCTACAATTAGCAGAGCTAAATAAACAGACTTGGAGCGGAGGAGAAAGTCGTCCGTCATACCTGCACAGCCAGAACGAGGCCCCCACCCCAACAGCGTTCCACTTACAAGTAGCCCAGCGGCGCCTCATACCCAGCCCTGGGCTAAACAGCTGCCGGCAAATGACCCCTCACGATGACGCTGGTAAACAATAAGGCGAAAGGCCACAGGTACATGAATTGCCGGTTGCCCTATCAAAAACACGGATAATGCGGGCCTATTCTTCGACTATTTTTCGTCTGCATTCTTAAAAGAAAAAGGCAATGATGGATGGACAGAAGAAAGAAAGGGTTAATAAACAAAGATGAAAACTCAATGAGACGGTTCTCCATGTGCCTCGAAGAAATGAGGAGACTGGAGGTAAAGTTCCACGCACTGGACGAATGTGGACGGTCTTCTCTTCTTTCCTTTCTTTACCTCTTCTTTTGTATATCTTTTCTTTCCTCCTTCATTTGCTATTTTCTAGTTGGCCTATTCCATTAAAGTATTCTGCACACGTGCTGACGATTAAACTTCATTCTCTTTCATTTGTTCCTGGAATATTCTTTCCCAGATAAATTTCGGAAAGCGATACGGAATAAAATTATACGAATAAAAATAACAAATATTCAGTCCATTTTCTATTGAATACTTACATTTTATGTCCGTTTCCAGCATTAACTATGTTTTGTTTATCAGAGGTAGTAGGCCTAATTTCAAACAAGTTTTTACCTTGCACTGTCGAGGTAACAGGAATTCTTCTGCGAAAACAAGTTAGTGTGTGCAGAAACAAGCGGCCAATAACCTGCACCACGTTTCTCGTTTTGAGCGCGGCCCATCAAAATGTTAAAACGACAAAAGAAACAAAAAAAGGTAATGGTGTAGTTGAAGTACACGCACTGATACCATCTAGCGGCCACTTTGTAAACTGTCAGCAAGACTTCTTATGCATTCATAAACATGAGCCACAACTTGAATCATCAAAATATAAAAAAATTCAGAACATTCCTCACAAATATTTATTTTCTACCATATGTAGTGCTTAGGAACTCACTCACTCACTCTGTGGTGCAGGGTACTCTTTGTAAGTCGACTGCATAATCGGCATGTCAAAGAATGGCCCACTTTCTTTATGGCCCCAAAGGTTCATCACCGTATTCAAAAAAGCCCGCCACCGGACTCCATCCTGGGCTAGATGCATCCATTTCGAACCATCGATTCCTCTATCTCTCTGGTCCGTCTTAACGTTATCCTCCCACCTATGCCTAGGTCTTCCCGGAGGAAAGACGGCAAGGTGGACGCCAGCGTCGGTCTAGACGTCATGGCGAAGTGGAAGTTCCCTACCCTGCCGGAATGAAATCCCCGTCATCCACCCATAACTTCTAAGATTAATCTATTCGGACTCACTCAAATGCATCTAAAACGGATAATAATATCTAAAGCAGACGTGTCGCAATGTTACTTCGTTGTTCAGGATCACTGCAGGAGATAAACGGTTTCTTTAATTTTTTTCTGACAACGAACGTCTTCCGGTCCATACACCTCATTTCATCAAAGAGAGCGAGCTTCTTGCCGGAGTAATCACGCAGCTGTGTCTTGCTTGCGGCTTTCCCGATTCGCACGCAATGCACTTGCGAGCCTCTGGAGTGAGGGTGCGTGACATGACCGGATGTGCGTCGCCAAGTAATTGCTTTGCTGATGGCTACTCGGGACGAAACAAATGCCAAGATGGCCCACGTACAATGCGAGCAATAATTTGTCTGTACCGGTCAATGTCCCATGCTCATGGCACTTACTATCACTCGGCTTCATCAGGTGCGTCATTGCACAGGGCCCTCCTGAAGAGCTGTTCCTTTCAAGGGCCTTCCTTACAGGCCGCCCTTTTCAGGGACGACTTCTGGGTTGTAGCGCCGTTTGAAACCTTGGTAGACTAAACAGCGTTACAACCCAGAAGACAGCAATATTCGTACTCACCGCCGCGAGAACCTTAAATCCTAATTAATTAATATAATAGTCAACATGAATTGGTTTCATGCCAACATTTCTACACATAGCCATTACAGGAGCTTTGAATTCTGTAGGCTCATTAAAAATTGTTAAGACTATTACGGTTTATGACCAAATTTATGGGTTAAAATTATATTAATATTTAACATCTGAACTGTGAACAGAATAACAATAAAACAGTTTACATAATCTGAACTTCGCCCTTTTAGTTTCCTCTACGTCCGAAATAAATTCACTAATAGCGAAATCCGAAGTTTTAGAATATGGTGAAATGACAACTAAAAACCGGCACTATTCCATATTTCGGTCATGTGACACATATCTTTCAAGCACTTTCCAATTAGGCAAAATAATCCCAAAATTTCTGTTGAACGTAAATCACGTAATTGTTATTAAATAAGAAGACCACAGAAATACTGCGTATGAAATGTTTTAAAATAACTACAGCAGTAGTTTAGAGTGAAAGGTTCAGAGTTGTTTCTCTTTATTATTCACTGGTGTAAGCTTAACACGCGAGGGCGGTAATGAAGCCAAGATGGAAAGAAAAGATTCAAGCTCGGAAGACAAGGATAGGCAGAAATTTTAGCAAGTGCATGGGGGAAGAGAGGTCATTATCACGAGGCAGGTCTTTTACAAGAACCCGTCTTACGGGTGCGACACTCGATATCGCGAGGTGAACCGGAGCAGACCTCTCAGCACTCAGCGCCATGACAACAACGCAGTAGGTTCAAACAGTGCGCTCCAGCGACTCATCTTCGATTTGTTTACTGTGTGAAGCAAAAACTTCTTACGTAAACCGCTCCGTTCTTAGTGTGTGTTGCGTTGTGACATGGAATGAAACTGGCGGGTGTTTGAAGCTTCATTTTCTAAGCATTCTAAGCAGCACAACAGCTTCAGGATAGTTCAATGTCCTTTTTCGTTTTCCTGGGTGGCTCACAGGCAAGCAGGAACGGTTCATTTAACGATGATTGTTTCGAATGGTGTGTGCGTGGTTTATACCTCCTGACCACTCTGTTTTCTGTCCGTCTAGAAAGGGCGAAAACGGTAACCAACATTTTCGATACAATCACCAACTGGGCGAGATTTCTGATTTTCTCCAAAAAAAAAAAGGATAATAAAGATTAAATGTATGGTCGGCAAAGGGAACTTACAGATTAATGTGGAATACGAACCACGAGGGGTATGATTTATTTCATGTTCACAAGGTTTCGACGTTGTTAAGAGGTGTACCTCCTATTAGGAATAGGACAAGAGTAGACGCAAATATATTTTCCTGGAGTAGCTAAAATAATCCAAGGAAATTTTCAGTCGACATGTCTAGCCTCTGGCTTCCTGAACATGAAGCATTAATCCTATCACAACCGGGAAGTCTGGACCGGAATATGCGTCATCGTGTGATTCTGTGCGGTGTTCCCACGTTTCATAAAAATTCAATCGCATGTTCGCGAACGTCAGTTTTACTCCAAACGGATGAACGCCGAATATATAAAATCTAGTCAAAAGGGCACGTTGAAATTCAACGATGAACGATTTCTTTCGTTACTTCTTACCCCCATTTCATTTCCTTAGTCTCCCGCATTCCTTCCCAGTCCATTTAAATTCAGAACAATTAAAAGTATCGCTCGTGCTCCGCGCCATGTTATTTCAACGTTTTAGTTGTCCATTAACGATAAAAACACTTGTAAAACAGAACGTTTCGCCATCTGTCGTCAATTACTAAAAACTCCTAGACCTCTGTTAACACAACAAAACATGCACCAAAGCAAGTAAACTTCAAACTGAGTTTCCACGTGTTTTTCAGTGTGGTGTGTGCAACGATGTTCTTAGCGGTCGTGGTGCACGGTGAGATCCGCTGGGACGACGACGACAGTCCACTGAAGCGCACATACATTGTGGAAGCCACTGACTATGGTCTGCAGAGAATGAATGAATTGGTGAACGTCCAAGAGCCGCGCCTCTATCAGATCGGTATGACACTCGATTACGATGCCAAGCTCTAATGTACCATAATACCCGCGTCTGATTTGTCACTCTATAAAACTAACAAAAATAGTAAATGTCGATAACAGAAACCAAAGATTGCTAATACGAAACCCCGTTCCTGAACCAGTTCCATCCGACTCTCATACCCACAACATATCTCCCTAAAAGCTATCTTAATATTATCCTCCATCTCATTTTTGGTCTTCCAACTGTCCCTTTTCCATAAGGACCAGCATCAATAATGAACCACTGAGAAGGCTTCAAGAGTAGCACATTCTATTAGATGCTGTGTTTTCAGGAATGTGGCTAGACAAGGATAACCCTGCAAGGTACGTGGCAGCATTTAACGGCCAGAGTGACGTGGCGAGGAGACTAGCGAAGTTCGGGTACGCGTCCCTGCAGGCCACTTCGAAACTAGTGCAACAGTAAGTGACAGTATTTATTTAATTCTATAGGGTTCTGACGACGGTAGTTTACACTTCAAATTATTCATTGTCATTCACACAGTTCTTGAACAATAATACATCAACGGTAATACAATTCCGGCCGTCTATATTTATCGCCTTCGGATGCGGCAACTTCTCTGCCACGCGTGTCGAACGTGTAGTCTAAACACGCTTCGTCAGGCGAATAATGGTCAGACACCTGCAACTTCCTAAGTGTGAGATTTCAACGGAAACAATCTTCTAGTGGATCACAGATGAGCATTCATTCTCCTGGATTTTGTTATCCCAATAATATTTGCTACAAATTATGCAATTTTCTCTGTCTTATCTCATTATACCATTGTCAGGTACTTGTGTTCGTCCATTAATGTGAGACTCAAAGTTCCACACCCGTAAAAACAGTACAAATTATAGTTACACATATTTTAATCTTTAAGTTTTTAGGCAGGAACCAGGAAGAAAAAAACTTTCTTAAATAAATGATAAAGAGCATTTGCCATACTCAATCTGCCCTTAATTGCTCGTAAATGGTTTACAGTCGTTCGCAAATATTTGAACATTGCCACATTTTTTATATAAATATTAATTGTACTGTTCTAGTGCAGCTTGCGTCTAAAACGTGTTTATGAGGTTTCAACTTGACCCTCGTAATAATAAACAGGGCCCACCCCAGGCTGAAGCTTGTAATTATAACGTCCGTTAGTGTGAATGCCCCCAACGTAAAAAATTATGCACATGAATGTGTGTTTAAATATACGTTACTCTGGCAACAAATAAGTATCTTACAACACCCCGGGAAACTTTCTTCAGCATCTTTAATTACTGTGGAAGAGACTTACACGCATGCAAATGCAATAGCACTTCAAGCCTCAGGCGAGACATTTCAGTTCTACGCAAGGGTCAGCAACGATGGCAATGAACTAAATGTGGGAAGCTGTTTTACGCATTCTTTGTAAGAATTACAGAAAACGAACACATATCTGTTTTTTCTGACCGCCCACATGTGAGAAACTACTTGGCAGATATCGAGTAAATTTGGAATTGGGGAATTGGGAGATGTCAGGCGAAATTAATTTGGTACATATTGATAACTACAACCGGAACCTACTTTACATGATTCCCAAATAGATTATTATCGATCTTAGTAACAATAACGCATTATATAGAAACTGCTAACAACTTCGAATACGATATTAAAAAAATACAATAAATCTGGAAGAAAACATCATTTGAAATCTGATAAACATCTGACTAAAAGTTGCATTTAAGAAATTATATTTAAGTTTAAATAATTTTATACACCTGAAGATGGTTCTTTTAGAACTGAAACATGTCGTGTAAAAAGTGATGATCTAATGTAAAATCGAACATTTCGATGAGAACATCATTTTAAATATTTAAATGTTAATTTTAGTAATATTTTAATATTTAATAGGAATTTTATTGTGATTTGACTGACAAGATTTAAACAAATATGCTAAAGTATAGTTAACATTACAATTTACGTTCCATTTGAACTGGTTTTTTTCGATATGACAACTAAGGAAATACAAGGATAATGTATTTACACACAATTGAACATTGCCATTAACTGAATTACGTAATACGTCATAAAAAGCACCTTTAAAAAGTGTGCACTTCATGCACACGTAACAACCCAACGTTTGACGCCATTATTCAAGACGACAAGACTCGACTTTCACAGGGCCGGGACACGGACTTTTCAGTACGAACATACGAAACCGGAAGCGGAGATCTTCTTCTTGATTAGCGCGGCACAGTTCTTAGACGACTAATTTCAAATATCGCGAACATTTGTATGATATTAAAAATATAACAAGCATTAGTACAAAAACAAAACCAGTTTTCATATTAACATTAAACATAAAAAGTATAATAATAAAAAATCAGGTCATTTGCGACCTCAGGAACTTCTGTGTATTTCTGTGACGCACTCGGATGAAACGGGAACTCGTTCCGCCCTACGGGAAATCAATTCTTTAAATCCAACGCTCCAGTTACCTTACATTACAGATGAAACATAATACAGCTGGCAGTTTACAACATTTGTGTCGTATAGCCCGGGAGACATCAACAATCCATCTGTGCTGAGAGCACAACTGAGATTCATTGTGTTCGGACCTCGCCTCGTCTTTGTGTTAACGTTAGAGCGATTAGCTTAAAAGACACTGGAGGACCTGGGCGTAGATGCTAGGATAATATTAAAATAAATTATAAGGAAACAGAATATGATGTGGATTGGATTCTTCTGGACTATGACGAAGTCGATCGATGGGCTGCTGCGAACATGATAATAAAAATTCGGGTTACACAAAAGATGGGGGAATTTCTTGACAAGCTATCCATTAGCTTCTCATTAAGGAGTTTACTTCACAGGAACTTGTTCGATGGCGCTAGCTAATTATATACTACAAAGAACGAACAATGAAAGTGAAAATTAAATAAATGTTTTTAAGATGTCGAGATAAATAGATGATTCGTGTGTCGAAATAGTGTATTGCTCCTTAACAAAGCTTAACAAATCGTAGTTCTAAGCGTAGCAACAGCGTCTTGTTATGAGGAATGAGCCGTGAAACGGTGATGCTGGAGGCAACTGTCAATACAGAACGGAGCGTGAGAAACACAACAGACAGCCAGTCATCTGACCGAGGCTGGTACCAAATACACTTCCGGGCCCCTCAGATCTTATGCGACATCGGGAGAACTTGGAAATTTCGTGTCATCGTTTATTTAAAGAAGCTTTCTCAACTTCACAGGCTGTACGCCGTCGAATCGGATGACAAACTAAAGGACACAAAAGGATGTCGAATGGAAACGGGCATGACTACGTTAGTTCAGCTGGTGAAGATACTACCCGCCATTTATAAAACCCAAAAATTCACTGGACTAATTACAAAAGCCAACTGGACCGTAACAATTCCACACCCTTGCAACGTGTTTCCTTGACACATTTTATCTACAAATTTTCGTTTTGTTCCTAAAAACGAGCAGAACAACTTCTTTCGTCGTCAGCGTGACCGCGACAGATTTTTACTCTTACCTGGCGTTAGTGATTTTACACTCTTACTGCAGTATGTACGAATTTTCTGAATAGGACCGACTC